GAAGTACAATGAGAAGAAGGCAGTTTATTGAGAGAGGTATCAGCAGCCAACACATCTACACCTTCTTCAAGAATCCCCAAACACCCGCCAGGAGACACAAAAGAGGGATCTTCTCACCATTCCGCTCACCACTCCTACTATTAAGGAAGGTACCACATCCTCTCCACTGTTTATACCATTGCATCTTTTTCAGTTTTGTATTATATTTTGTGCTTCTCTCTCTCATTGCTTTCATTACACAAGAGACTGTGTAATTTAAGTGTGGGGGAGAGATTTGGGGTTTGAATTTGTGTTTTTTTTCTTAGTTTTTCTTTTTCTTTCACTTTGAGTCTCATGCATATCATGCACTCATGTAAGGCATAGGAAAAACACAAAAAAATCGAAAAATTTGAAAACTTTTGCATTCTTGCAAACCAAAAAGAAAGCATGTAGTTGCATTTCATTCTTCTAGGATTGAGTTTAGTGTTGACATATAGGTTGCATTGCATTTGCATAGGGCATTATGATGAGTTTTCCTTGTAAAGTGCTTAGTGTTTATAGATGATTTCAGTGTTTAAGTGGCTAGTTGTTGATGCATCATAAGATTGCTGGAAGTTAAGGCTGAACCATGCTTAGATTGCTAAATTTGGTCTTATCATCTCATTCTGAAAGCACTTGTTCTCTGAAAATCAACTCTATCAACTTGAACCTTAATTTGGACTTTTAATTATCATGTCTTATGTATTGAAAAGTGAATTCATGGCTACCATATACATATTTGGATCATCTTTTTCCTTTCTACCACTCTTGTTGATCCAAACAGCTGATCCTCATACTTATGGGACAGTTCCATCCACACCCCTAACCAAAACCTTCTTTTGAGCCTAAACACTATTGTGAGAGCTGTGAGGCCTTTGCATTGCATTTTTTATTTTGTCTTGGCAAAAAGGCTGGCAATGATTAGCTCTCTTGTAGATATCAGCTTGCATCTTGAGCTTGATTCTAGGATAGGAGTTTTGAGGTTTAAAAAGGTAGTGTAAGTGGTTTGAACTTCATGTATATGTGTTTTAAAAGAAAGGGAAAAGATTTGAAAATGGTAGAAAAGATAAAACAGTCTAGAATTGTGGTTAAGTAAAGGAAAGAAAAAGCTCTAAGTACAAACAAGAAAGGCGCCAGCAACAAAGCTCAGAAAGGTCTAAAGAATAAAAATCAGATCAGGAGCAATCCACCAAAGGTGATGAAGGTGCCAATGCAACAAAGAAGAGCAAGTCCCAACCAAAAAGAAGCAACCACATGATATATTGGGGTTTTGAGGCTTTCTAACCTAAGATTTTCAACGGTTTTTCGATTCAAAGTGTTATTTTAGAGTCTTTTAGTCTTTTTATCAAGTTTTTTCAGGTTTTAGATCGTTTGGGAGAAAAAGAGCCATTTTGGGTGCAAACGAACATATGTGGATGCAGAACTATACAGGAACGTCCGAAGTTTGACATTCCTTGAAATACTCCCCCCCCCCCCCCCCCCCCCCCCCCCCCCCCCCCTATTTGGACACAAGCTATATCTTTGAGTTAGCTTTCATTTGGAAGTGGTTTGAAGTCAATCCAACGGTGCGATCAAAAGTTATGCCAGTTTTCGTGAAAGCAGTCTAGTCTGGGATGCGCAGAAGGCCGAAGAACTTCCCGAGAGAAATTAGATCGATCGATCTAGATTTGGATCGATCGATCCGGAGTTCAAAAATTACCCGAGACATTTTAGATCGATCGATCCAGGAGGGATCGATCGATCCGAGAGGTCGTGGATTTCCCGAGAGGATTTAGACCGATCGATCCAAGTCAGGATCGATCGATCTGAGGTCTTAACCAGCCGGTTTGGTCGCGCATAAATAAGGAAACTTCGGGTTTTTCCTATTTCAACTTGGTTTTCGACAATTTCTCACCCAATTCGTTCCAAGACCTATAAATACTTGTTTTTCAGCCATTGTTTAGGCAATCCTCTTCTTTTAAATTAATACTTTTAGGTTTTGTGTTTTGTGAGCTTGGGGAGAAGAATCTCTACATCTTTTAAGAAGATTTCGGAACCCCTTTGGATTTCTTATTTATTGATTATAAATTTCTCTTCCTCTCCTTGTTGTTTCTCTGCTTTCATGTCTGAGTAGTTTCATAGTTAGGTTTAGGGTTTTCAAAGGATTCATGAATCAATGAACTAGACATAAATAGGGTTATTCATCTGTTGTCTTCAACTATTGTTGTTCTCATTGCTTAGATTAATTTGATCACTTAATCTCTGATTTAGGGTTTAATCTATTCATGAAAGTGTTTTAGATTGCTTGATAGAACATAGGTGAGCAGATTGTCCTTAACAAACGAAAGCTGATGTTAAGGTAATCTGTGAACAAATCGAACATGTTCATCAATGCTTGTTTAGAATTTTAAGTTCAAACGAAAGTTTAGATACTTAGGTTGCTAGACAAAGTCTTTGATGCCACGAAAGTGGATTAATTATACATTTATGTTTGAGTTCTAGATTGTTCTATAATCTGTCATGAATAATTGTCTGGTTCTTGATCTCTGAATTCCTGCGAAATACCTAGACCTAGCGCTTTCTTTTACTGTCTTTAAACCGCTTTTATTTGCTATTTTCGTTTTACATTCAACAACCCATATTCTTGTCTTAGCTTAGTTTCATTCATTAAGATTTGCAGTGTGACACTTGGTCCTTGTGGATTCGATCCCTACTCTACTACAACATTTGCTGTGCACTTGCAGTAGTTCTATAGGGTTTAAACTTTGTGTATCAAGTTTTTGGCGCCGTTGCCGGGGATCGAACCCGGGTCACCCGCGTGACAGGCGGGAATACTTATCAAGTTTTTGGCACCGTTGCCAGGGACCAATAGCGTTACCTGTGAATCTAGGACTGAAGTTTGGTCTAAGGTTTAATAACTAGTTTCTTCTTTCACTCTTGTGGATTCAGGTGCATGCATAGAAGAAGTAAAGGTTCTGACAACCTCCTTCATCTAAACAACCAAGAACTTGCAAGAGTAGAAAGGACTAACAACAAAGGAAGGAAAAAGAAGTTGAATCAAGTCACGATGGGTGATAATGTCAACAACCAAGATCTACCAGAAGATCAAGCTAACCCAGCTACAGAGATCCAACGCATGCAACAGCAGCTGAACAGGTTGTTGCAGCAACAACAGCGGCAGCAAGAGCAGCAAGCTATTAGGGATGTGGATACACCTCACACCTTCTACAGGAACATAGCTGCTATCCGCATACCAGCTATTGAGAGAGCAGACTATGAGATAAAACCGCAGATGATTGCATTGGTGTAGCAGCATCTGTTCCATGGCCTCTTTGCTGAGCTTCCAATGGATCACATTGAGAATTTTGAAGAGATCTGCAGTACAACAAACTCGAATGGAGTACCAGCTGACTTCCTCAAATGCAAGCTCTTTCCATTCTCTTTGGCAGACAAAGCACAAAGATGGCTAAAATCCCTTCCTCCAGGATCTTTGACAAACTGGAGTGAATGCAGAGCAGCATTCCTGGACCACTTCTACACTAAGTCCAAAACTGCTGCTTTGAGGAACAAGATCACCACCTTCCAGCAACATTCAGGGGAATCCTTCTGTGAAGCATGGGAAAGGTTTAAGGAGTATCGCAGAGAGTGCCCTCACCATGGGTATTCAGATGAGCAGTTTCTTAGCATCTTCTATGATGGAGTAGAATAGGAGTTCAAAAACAATCTCAATGCTGCAAGCAATGGAGATTTCATGACCAGGAGTACACAGAAGGCATATGAGCTGATAGAGAACATGGCTGCAAGTTCTAATAATCGATGCCCTGAGTATGACAGGTCAAGAAGAGTTAGTAGTGTAGAATCTCATAAGATAGATGAGCTGACTGCTCAAGTGAGTCTTTTGCTGAAGGCAACTCAGAAGGGAGGACAGAATTGTGAAGATGGATCTGATGCTTTTCTTTGTCAAGGGTTTGCAGAAGAATAGAACAATGAGCTGCTGGAAATGAGCTATGTCAATGGACAGGGTTTTTTGCAGAACAGTAGCTTCAACCAGAACTACAGAAACCATCCAAACTTATCCTACAGAAACACCAACGTGGAGAACCCTCAAGATCAGGTTTACCCACAGCAAGGAGGCTCTCAGGGCCAAAAATACCAACCAAAACCGTTCATGCCAAGCACAGGCGTCACCGGAGCTTCTCAGGGGTTTTCAGGACAAACAGGTGTGCAAAACCCAGGGTTTCAGCAGAAATTTTCACAAGGATTCGCCCCAAACCAAGGACAGAGCAAATTTCAAGGTGGATATCAGCAACAGCAGCCTTTCAACATCTTCCACACAGCAGCATCCGCCCCATTTCAAGCTCCATCAAATGGTTCTCAAGATGAACTGAAGGTCCTTACGCAGCAGCTCTTACTCAACCAACAAAAGTCTGCTAATGAGATCAATGTCAAAATGGATCACATGTACAATGATCTCAATAGCAAGTATGAAGCAGTGAGTGCTCATGTGATGAAGTTAGATACCCAGGTTGCTCAGATTGCAAAAGCCAACAAGAGACAATTAGGAAATCTTCCTGGAAAGGTTGAGACAAACCCAAGAGAGCATTGCAATGCAGTAATGGGTCAAAAGATTGCACCAGAATTGGAGAAAAAGTTGGAGGCACAAAAGGTTGTTGAGACTATTACTGATTCAGATGAGAGGTCTATTTATACAGCTCCATCATCATACACTCCTAAAGTCCCATATCTGATGCCACCTAAACATCTAAGGAGTCCTATTAGTAAAGAGAAGCTGGCTGGTTTTAACAAGATTGTGAGAAAGATCCCACATCAAATCTCGTTTGCTGAAGCTTGGGAAAGTTATCCTTTATGTGATTACTTCAGTTCATGTAGAGAGAGTATACTTAGTTTTTCTTTTCTTGTAGTTTTAGAGTGAATTGTCACTTAATATTATAGCAAACTTATTTTGTTTTTTAACACGAAAATATTTGTTGATGACGAAAAAAGATTAAACAAAGTCCCGTATAGCTTTTATTATTTCAACAATATACATATACAAACAAGTGAGAGGGATTATTCAAGATAATGTAAATAACACAGAGAGCTGTGTCAGCTTAATTGGTATTAGCACCAGAAGAGAGAACAGAAAAATGTTTAGTTCGAGTGTTAAAAAACCTCCGCAACCTCTTTGATGCTTCAACAATATCCTCTCTGCGTCCAAACCCACTGATTCTTAAATACTCTTCTCCACCTGGTCCAAAACCTGATCCCGGAACTGTAATTATATGAGTATTTTCAAGAATCTCAGAAAACACATCCCAAGATTTTGATCCCCTAAAGTGAACCCACAAGTATGGAGCATTTACACCACCATAGACTGTGAGGCCGAGCGAAACCAAAGTCTCCATTAGTATCTTCCTGTTCTCTTTGTAGTAGTTGATCACCGACCTTATCTCCTAGCAATGTTTAACCCAGGAAACATAAAGAGGATGTTCAAACTAAACAAAAATGTAAATTTATACAATAGCCTATAATACTCAATTACCTTAAGGCCAACGGGAGAAAGGCATGCTAATCCACCCGCTTGAGCGATATTTGAAGCTCCATTGAAGGAAGTGGTCACAATGCGATGGAAGTCAATTATAATGGGAAACCCATTAGAGTACAAGAGTTCATCAGGGATGATAGTCCAACCAAGCCGAACACCAGTGAAACCAGCAAATTTGGAGAATGATGAAACTTCAATCGCGACCTAGTAAGAAGTAATATGATGAATGAATGCGAATACATATATAAATGCAAAGACATCGAATACCAAATCGGAAATTAAAGTGAGGCCAAGAATATATGGTCCACTTCTTTTATTGCTTATTAATAGCTTTTGAGTTGAAAGTTCATGAAACTTGACAAAAACGCAATATATGAATGTAAACTCGTCTCACCTCTCGAGCACCAGGAATCTCATATATTGATCGTGGGCTGCCATCTTCGATAAAAGCGGCATATGCAGAGTCAAAAATAATAATAGAACCATTGGTCTTTGCAAAGCCAACTAATTGTTGTAGCTGTTTCCTTGACGCTACATAACCAGTAGGGTTATTAGGAGAACAAAAGAAGATGACATCAGTCCTTGGGGTGACTGATAGATCAGGGAAGAAACTATTATTAGGTCCACAAGGCATGTAGACAATATTTTGGTACTTCTTGGTTGCTTCATGGAAATAACCAGTTTGACCAATTATCACGCTTGAATCCACGTAAGCCTAATTCCACAAAGAAAAAGAAAACGTAAGAGGAAAAATTAACGTTCACAAGAAGATATTCTTTTCCAAATTTAGGCACTGCACCTTTCTTATGTTCATAAATCATAGGGAAAGAGTAAATATGTAAACAGAAATATAAAATCATTGATTTTACCGGGAAGGTAGGGTCTTGCACAGCAATTGTGACACCAGAGCCTAGAAGTAGCTGCAAATGAAACGCAAATAAGCCATGCATAAGCGTAGCGTCAAAAGAATGTGTTAGATATCAAAAACACCTCTCAACCCATACCTGAAGACGAGAAATATCGCTTTGAGCACCATCTGATACAAAAACTTCATTGCTTTTCACGTGCAATTGTCCATAGAACGTATCAGCAATAGCTTTCCGAAGGGCCTAGTTATGAAAATAAAAAATAAGTAAAAGACGTTAATATCGGAAGTGCTTAAAAACTATCTCGCATAAAAGATGAGGGATATAAAATGTAAACATGCAAACATATGAGAAATAGAGAACAGGTTAAATTGACACAATGATATGATACAACTTTTGTCAATGAAACAAAGACCATAATACCTTATCACCTTGTTCCAGTCCATACCCTCTATATCCTTCCACAGTCGATAGAGCATGTGCAAACTGATCGATCAAAATCCAACATACAAAATTACAAATGAATCGGACCGGATGGACCGGGTTTTGTGTTTTTATATATTTCAAGAAAAGATAGGTTTATTCTCAAAAGTTATATAAGTTTCTTCACTACCTTCACATATATATAAGCAAAACCCAGAAAAACAATAGACAGAGAAATTAAAGTGGTATAACCGACTAAAGTCGATGCACAACAAACAAACTTGACACTATAAAAGCACAATATAGACTGTAGCAGTTACAAAAGCAGATACTTGACGCACATGGATTCTCTCGTGCTGATCTAGAGAAAAAAGAGACATTCACGTAGCATTGACATTGACGGATTAGCATGATTTTTCTTGGTAAATTTTCAAGATAACTCCAACATTTTTTTATGTCATCCTATTCTAATATACGAAACAGATGCTTGCATATATATACCAATATACGTAAACGACTAAACAACCTTTTGGAAAGAAACAACAAAAGAATGGAAAAAAAATAGACACATGCATCGCGATAACAATAAAATTTGCAGAAGAAATATTCAAGTTTTTTTCTTTTTGACAAAAAGAATAATATTTAAATTGCATGAACACAAAAACGATGAAAAGATGGAAATTTCCAAGAAGAGAAAGAACAACTGACTTTCCAGATAGTCAAGTCAGGAAGACGTTTTAGGGTTTTGTATGAATTAAGCATTTTTAATTTTTTATTCTAATCTAAGGATATCAAATATATATTTTTCTTTTTGGTAAAAAACGGGTTCTATAGCTAATTAACCCAAACCGGATGGTTTCCGAATTTTAACCGTGTTTGAAGTGGTGATCAGAGTGATTTGGTTTTGGATAAAACTCTAACCAGGTGTATTGCATCACATAATTTTTTTTTTCTACCAGTTGTGCAACTGATAAACAATGCCTGTCCGTAAACTGGACAGATTCGACTGGTTTTAGGCCTTAAAATAAATAAATAAAAAACAGAGAAAAATACAAAAATACAAAAGAAAACAAATAGGACAAATCTTACATTACACATGTCTGAGGTAATCTGCTTCGGTATAGGCTCTGTTGTATCGCCAGTCCCAAGGCTTATCAATCTTACATTTGGATGTTTTTCAATGTGCTCAAGCTCACGTCTGGTTATCTATTTATAAACACAATCACAGACTCTCAGTAAAGCATGTAATCCACAATTTCCATATTTATTAAAAATCAATAAAGACAAAAGATCATAAAGTTACTTCAGGAAACAAATAGTTGTTCTTTAGTTTCTCCAAATTCACGTTACGGATAAGTTTTGTGCAGCCACCTGAGCAAACATAAGGCAAACGGTTATGATAAACCGTCTCAAAATATTTTTTAGATCCTGTACAATATTTTTACTAAGAGTATATGTGTTGTGTTAGAAGATATTTTCGGTAAAAAAAATTAGATTCCAATTTTTTATATACTTATAAATTTGGTTTTCTAAAGATTCAATGCTTCATTTGCACATACTAAATAGACGGCTCTGATAATAATCAGATATAAAAGTACAATCAGAACATAGTTTTGAGAGTGAAGATGAGAAAATCTTACCAAGTTTCCTAAACTCAACGTCTAAACTGTAGAAGAAAGAAAGATTGAAGTATATCAGATAGCGATCATAAGAGAATGATAAAGAGCAAAGCATTGATTATATTTCTTGCATTACAAATGTAATCTAGTACCTAGAATTCACAGTTTTTGATGGAGAAGAGCGTAAACAAGAGGCTGAACTGAAGAACTTTAGACTGAACATTCTTTAGTTCCAAGTTAAAACAGCTCCAAAGATGTTATCAATAATACCACTGATCTGTTAATTAAGTACGTATATATAATACACTCCAAGCGAGTACGTACTAATAATCACACTATTAAATTGTGTCTATAAATGTCACCTTCAAGTGGATAGAGTGCAGAAATTTCTAAAGCAGCCAATCCATGCACGGCTAGTGAGTCAGATGAATTCTTTTTTTTTTTTTTTTTGTGCAAAGAGTCGGATGAATTCACACCATGTCTTTTTGTTGTCCATTTAGAGTTGGACCAATACATACATGAAAGTAATATTTTTAATAGAGCTTATTAAATGAAGGTTAAAAGACCCATTTGAAATCTCAAGCTATCTCTATCAATACCATCCATTCCTTTTCTTCAAGAAACCTAATGGAGTATTTAATAGATTTTATAAGGATATTGACGATATAGCAATATTGACTCTGTATTTGTGAATTGATATGGTCTTTTGGAAACTATAGATTAAAAAAATAGTGTAAATGACAATATTGGAAGATGAATTTATATAGAGTTGTTTGATTTAAAAGTTGAGAGATTTTTAAAACTTGTAAAGACTTTTGTTAGATTTGAAAAAAGTTTGTATATTTAGTTTATCTATAAAAATATTTTAATATGATTGATTTTGAGATTATTAGAAATATATAGTTAGTATTTTGAAAGTTTTGTTTAAGTTGTTAAAAATCAGTGTTTGGATAACAAAGATTTTAATGAAATCATAGAATAACGTAAAATATAGAAAAATTTTGAATACTAATAAATTTTGTATGAAATTTATAAACTAATAACACTAGATTCTAGTAAAAATGTGAGAATCCATTAATCAACATTAATGAATTTTGAAAATTCTAATAATCTTTTGAAATCCATCTCAGTAGATTAGCAACTATACAAAGTAAATAGCAATGAAACAAAGTAAATATTTTTATATTTCTACTTTCACCTTTGAAACAAAGTAATTTATCAAATATAAATCTAATCAAAGAATACTCTAATTAGAAAGCTTAGGCCACCATTTTTTATTTAATAACGCCACATAAAAAATAACATATTCAGGAAAAAAATAGTTTTCTAAATACATTTAAATGAAAGGTAATAATCCAACAATATTTTGCTTTCCCTCATTGTTATTTTCCTATTGTTAGTCCACTTTTTTTTGCCATTGAGTACATTTACACAAACAAACAAACAAAAACAATTTTCGGGCCGAGGGAAGCTTTTAGCATTGCTAACATTTAGATTCCCAAGAAATTGGTGTCAGAATAGATAGCAGTGGCTGACTTTTCATGCCACAGAGTTTAATAATTGCATTTTTAATCACCTTCATAAAGCCCAGAGGCAACGAGTAAATTTTCTCTTTTAAAACATTAAGCAACGAGTAAGTTGTGCAATGGTTACTAGTTCCTATTTAGTGGATATCATTATACTCCCTCTGTTTCATAATAAGTATCATTTTAGGAAAATATATCTACATTATAACTGGATGTATTAACCTTAAAACACATCCAAATACATCTAATTATAATGTAGATATATTTTCCCAAAATGATACTTATTATGAAACAGAGGAAATATTACTTATTGTTGACTTCCATGCCATAAGTTGTACAACTTGTATCTAACACACCTCCGGAGAACTTCATGCACACGACCACATGTTGAAAGAATTAATGATAGGTATTCAGCCCCGGCCCAATGAATTTTAAAGCCTTTGAGCAAAAAATTTTTTTGGACCTTTTAATATTAAAAATTGAAATTTTGAGTCCTTCAATATCAAAAATCGAAATTTTGGGCCCTTTAATATCAAAAATCTAAATTTTTTGGGCCCTTTTCTAATAATTTTGTTAATAAAAAATAATAATTTAAATTAAAAATATATTTTATTAGATCAATATTTTTGAAAATGGGCTCTTAAATATCTGAAATTTGATATGGACCTCTGAGCAGATGCACCTCTGTCCACTCCGCTTGGGCCAGGCCTATAGGTATTGACCAAAAAAAAGAATTAGTGATAGGCTATTATAAATTTGTTAGCTTACAGTTAATTTTTTACTTTTTAATGTTAAAAACTTAGAGTATCTATATTGGTGTATATGTTTTCGCGTATCTTATATATATAAAAAACTAATATAAATTTTTTATTTATTTAAATTTTAAATTATAAAAGAAAAAACTAGATGTTGGGCTATAAAACATTTTATATGTTTAATTATGATTAATATAGTATTAAAAATGTTTTATTTGTATATGATTAATTATATATTTATAATAAAATATTAAACATTTGATAATAAAAAAATAATGATAAATTAAATATAAAATATTATATATTTCGAAAATAAAGATAAAAAATATTGACTAAAATTTTAAAATATTCTTTGGATAAAAATGTAAATATGATAACTAAATAAACGGAAAAACATTAAAATATATAATAATTTATTTAATTTTTATTTTTGATCCACACGCACGTGCAAGTATAGTTTTTTATATACATAATCAGTTGTAATATTTAAGTATTGATTAATTTTTTTATACATTATACAAACGTTTCATATCGTTTTGTGTCTTTTGAAAACTTTTCATGTTTCCTAGCGTTTATAGTAACATATAATTCCAAATTGAAAAGTTATATTAAATAATAATTAAATTTTTATAATATGTTTTGAATATTATCTATATAATACTTTCTTTTTCTCTTTACATAATATAATCTTACCAATATATATATTTTAAGTATACATTTTTCATCGACCTATTGCTAATTAATCCAAAATGAATTCTACCATATTTATTTATCCTAAGACCGGGTAGATAGTTAGCCTGCACATTTGTGCGTACCAGACACCTCACCGTTCTTAGGACATATAAAGATTTTTAAAAAAATATAAATGGTCTAACAACTAAAATTCAAATTAAAGTGTAATCGAGGTAAATAAAATGTATGCACAACAAGTTTGCATTCGAGTTTGACTTTTGCATAATTAATATTTATATCTACACGCATATTTTCAATAAAATATAAACTATTTCTATTGTTTTGTATTTAATCAAAGTTTCTTATTTTTCAGCGTTTCATGATATATGGTTTCTCAATAAAATATAATAATTTTTTTTTTTAGTTTGTGAAATCATATTTTTTAAAATTATCTTGTAGCTCTCCGCTCATCTCTTTGTCAATATATTTAAAATCTGCAACCGCTCGCTTCCACAAACTCTCTGTAATCGAATCGTTTAAATCAAACAGATCTAAACTTTTATGTGTATGATTTAAGGTATAAAATAATATTTATAATATTTGATTGTTATTAAAAATTAAGAGTTGATATAAAATATAATGGATCACAACATATACAAAACTTAGTCATGAAATAATGTTTTAATATGTTAGAAAAATATATGCATTAAAGAATTAATATGTGTAAATAATATTTTTTAATATCTTAAATAAAAACTTAAAATTGATCAAAATTATTCTTATTTAGTTTTTATCTTCTTTAACTCATACTTTTTTTTTAACATTTAATAATATATTAAACATTAAGATCATCTCCAATGTATTTTTCTAATTTTTCCTCTAAAATATAAATGGACTTTCTCTCCAACCTATTTCTATTTTACAGAAAGAAGAAAATAACAATCTTTATTTTTCCTCTAAATTAGAAGATTTAAAATAAAGGTGGCTTGAAGATGCTTTAAACCAAAAATATAACCTGAGAGTTTTACATAAAACTAAAGTCGTAAAGATTCATTTTTACTTTTACTTCTACTTTTTATTCATATATACAGTATTATAATAAAAAGGTTAGCTAAGAGGACACGTATAATTTATTTTTCTATCTGTTTACTTTTTTGTTTCATTTATAATTTTGAATTATTGCTATATAATGAGAATTCATTATATTTGATATAAATTGTTTTATTTAAAAATGAGATTTATTTAGTGTTAACTTAACCAATCAAAATATTTCGTTTATTTTAAGAAATTTGCTATGTCACATTTATGAGGTGGCATTGTTTTGCACTAACTTTTACTAAAGTGATGACACATCTAATTTTTTCATTAAATATACTTTTAAAATAATAGTTAAGATAGCCAACTATTAATTGACATTTGTCAAAAGACAGAGTATTTCACAGTCTTTTGAACAAGAGATGTTCTAGAGATGTATTTGGTCTTGTTTCTTCCTTTTTCTTTTTTCAATTTTTTATTTATCAGATACTCTGGTGAGAGAGAGTGCTGTTAGAGTTGATTTTACAATAAGTTTATGGTAGTGAAGTAGTCGAAAGAGTTTGGAGGACCAAAATTCGAGTTTTCACAGTTAGTTTATGATAGTTATAATTATATGTACATTGAAGAGATATAATTATAATTAGTTTATGATTGTTATTATAGTTATAATTATATATATATATATTGAAGAAATATAATTATAATTATAATTATAGATGTTTTCGATGACAAGATAAACCTTTCTGAAAACTAGTTAAGATTTTGCTCTGGTTTCCCTAGTCAGCTAAAACAATTTCATACACACAAAACCTATATACATATCTATATATATGTGATAAATTGCTCTTGTACAACCACGCAAAAGGAAACTAGTAAAAATAGTTATTTTTAAACCTTCGTTTTAAAAAATAAAACTAAAATGTTATATTGCATATATATTTTAGGTTTTCTTTTTCCATATATTCGTTAAATCAAGACGAGTCTTAGACCATGCCATCATTATGCGTATTGTACAAGTGTTACAACGTTTTGTGTGTTTCTCCTTTTTTTTGTTGAAATGTTAACTAAACAACAACAACAAACAAGTGATTGTTTACAGAGTTTGAAAAAAACAGAAAATCTGTTGGATCTAAAAACAGAGCATTTTAAAGATTTCAAAAAGAGTGTTACGACGTTTTCGCCAAGTCCAATGAAATGTTCTTCCACCAAAATAAGAGATGCCTTATTTACCATATGATTCGTTACATAAGAATGATCTTATGGCAGAATA